GTTGAACCGTGGACGTGGTACATTCCCAGACGTTTCGCCGGCATCGTCAGTGAGTATCGCCATTCTTAGCCCAACACAACAACTCGTCAAAGAGACAAGTGAAGCCGATCCTTTGACCAAAGAATTGTTGAGCCCAATGAAAAAGTTTGAATAACCTTAAATCCGCTTAGAGCTCTCACATTTTACATGACACAAGAACAATGAAGCCACACAGAACACGTTCAACCACACGCACAGGCACATGACAATATTGTAGCCATGACGACCAATTTGGGGGTAAGGTGGGTTGGGGTGGGTGAGGCAGAGGGTCCATGTAAAATGTAAACACTGCTGCGTACTCTACCAGAATAGTCATGATCATTTTCAGCATCACACCGTTGACTTGGTATATTCCCAGATGTTTTGTCGGTCGCTACAGTAGGAGGCGCAATCCTTGGCACCGAGGTACTCCTCGTCGATGTGAAAAGTGATAAGGATTGCCTGTATCCAATCCTTTTGACGAGGTGTAACCCCGCGGAAGGGATGCCGACTTCGATGCAGTTTAAGCCTTTTGGAATGTACCAAAGCAACGGTCTAATGCTAAAAGTTAATATAACTACGACTGCACAAGTTTCATAGCTGGGTATCTTTCATACGCTCACCCTGTTGCCCTGATCAAAGTGTGAAACCGAGTTCAAAATAATGTGTCAGTATTTTCGGATTAAATTCAGGTTTGTGCATGCAAGAAAACAGTTGCTACCTCATACGCATCTTTTGCATGCTCCAACTTTGATCCTCTTCAGGTATGTTGAGTGATGTACTAACAAGCCTACAAAGACATCGGCTGCCTCATTATGAACGCAAGAGTAGGAATAAAATGTAAATATCATTGCGGTCAGCTACTGTTTTCTGTACAATGTTGGTGATTTTCTGTGAATGATGATTTCTGGCAGTAAAAAAAGTCTATCACGACGGATTTGAATCAATTATAGTCGCTAAATTGTGGATAAAGGAATACTTTGGAAAATCCTACACTCACAATTGAGGCCAATCCACAAATCTCTTTGAAGCAAATTCTTATTTAAAATTTAATTATAAAGAGATTCCTTAGAACCTCATTTTTTTCATTTATTACACATTCTTTGTGCCAACTTTCCACAATACATTAAAACAATGCGAAGAAAAGTTGGGTTTCGAGGAATCTCTTGTTTCATAATTGTTGAGCTTACTTCCAATTCGAGTAGAAGTGTTGGGTGAAGAGATTCGAAGTTTGGTTCCACCAGAAGACGAGGACGGATTCCTCTTGACCAGCTGTCGATTGGCTTTACTGGAAGAATCATGCTGACGCCGTTTCCGAGGCAATCTTCTTCGATTCCGGTGACGGACATCATCAGAACAAGGTATGACCATCACAACCAAATTTAAGCTAACAAGTCAAGAAAACTCACCGGCAAATCTATAAAAAGTGGTATATATACTTTACATCTGACCCCTTTGATGAGGTATAAAGTGATTTGTTTAGTTAGGGTCATATGTCACATACGATGCATGTGAGTGTGTGTCTGTCAGATACAGATACAGACACATTCACAGGCATCGAAGTTGACATATGACCTCAACTAACCAAATCACTTTATACCTCATCAAAGGGGTCAGATGTAGAGTATATATACCACTTTTTAGGGATTTACCGGTGAGTTTTCTTGACTCGTTAGCTTAAATTTGGTTGTGATGACGGACGAAAGCTTAGCACCTTTTCACCGAAATCGAAGGAGATTGCCCGGGAAACAACTCATCATGAATGTTCCAGTAAAGCCAATCGACAGCTGGTCAAGAGGAATCCGCCATCGTCTTCTGGTGAAACCAAACTTCGTATCTCTTCACCCAACACTTTCACTCGAAATGGAAGTAAGCTCAACATTAAAACAAGACTCTGGGATGACCCCTTCCAGAATTTGAACGGCTTGACTGCTCAAATAGCCTTTCCTTAAGAAATTCAGATTCTGTCCCAGTCGACCTTCAAAGAAAAAGCAAAGATCTTAGGCTGTTTCGGAAAGTTAGAGCCTGGCTCGTTAACCAACTGTCCTTTTTTGGCTTATTATTATTATTATTTTTGGCTACCGAATGTCAGTCAGCCTATCTCAATCCTCGTTCAGTTTCGTCTGGAGCCTTCCAGGCCTCAAAATCAGGAATTACACAACTTTGAAAGAACATATTTGCGTTCTGTTCTACAGCAATTTTGGCCCCTCTTCAGTCACATCTTCCTACCGAAAATTCTATGTACTGACATGTGCATTCCGCCTCTATTGTCAGTCAAGGATGCGCCGATTGGAGGATGAAAAAGAAGACTGGTGCCTGAAACATGCATTGCTTTCCTTCAGCCAACACTTTCCCGCAAATGTTGATGCCACTTTACAGCAAATGCGGTTTTGTGGAAGCACAAATTCGAAGGAAATCGCCAGTCTCTGTTCAATTTAGATGGCTTCTTCTGTGAGCCCTCTTGCGTTATTGACTGCCCATGTTTTTATTATATTTAATAAGCATCAGCAGATCTCTGACAAGAACGTGAGGCACTTTGGTTCGCTTCGAGAATTACTTGGTACAAAATAGCCTTTTTGAGCCTTGCATCAGGTCTAACAAGCCATTTACAAAACAGAGTTTTTGACTGTTTTCTTTTGACAAAACTGAGAATTTAACTCATTATGGCTGTACGAAGAGTAGAATATGTGCAATTTGTGAGTCTCTACTTTCGTCTTCAGAGACTGTCAACAGAGTCAGTATGCATGAAGCGATTGCTGACAATTTTCTGAGAGACGAGCTCAACAGCTGATTAAACGGGAATCGAGACCGCAAATGAAGGAGCATGTAAGCAGACCATTCTGCCAGACGACCTGGAGAATTGGCATGATTATACGTCAAGGTTGGAGTACCGTTTGAGTTCATTTAAAGAGGCGAGTGGAAGGGATTCGCAAGTCGGCCTCTTCGTAGATTTGCGATGCTGAGCTTAGTTCTGTCATGTGACGAACATCTTCAGAGCAGGATACCATGTTTCATGAAAATTCATCAAAATATGAAGACAAGAAAGGTCACACGACTGAGGAAAGTTTATCAAGGATTCGTCGGGGTCGCGATGATCCGAGCCGAGGACTTATTAACACAAATCGAAGTTAACAGCTCCAAAGCCCTCCTCCGTCGGCTTCCGGTAAGGCGAACTTATGAACCCACTTCATTCGCCTCTTCAAACGAGAGAATGGTACTACAAAAACTATATTTTATGGAATTCTACGAAAGCCAGCTTTTCTGCATATAATAATGCGCCAGCTGATACTATTCCATTGGAGACAAGAGATATAAACTTGAGAATGGGAAAAAGAAGAAGACACGAACTTGCCACCTAAGCGGCGAATTCACAAAATAACGAGAGTGAAAATCCAATTTGGAGACAATCAAATCATTGTTGTGGAGACCTTATGTTCGCATGCATGTGCATAACGAATACATTCGAATGTCGATCTCACCAGAAGACGAAGAAGGATTCACGTGGTACTTCAGACATGCAGCTAAAGTAACCCTCGTTTCGGTCGAGCTTTCTCCCATCAGGCGACGTACTTCATCAGAGCTTGAACGCATTCTTGCAAGACTAAAGTGAGCACTGAAGTAACTCAAATAAGCAAATGATTAAATAGTTGGAAAAGCTGACAGATTTATTCCAGGAAAATAATTATCCTTTAGAAGCAATTTAGAATAAAGTCTTTTGACAGGAATACATTTTAAGACGGAGACAAGCCGAGATTTTTTCTGATTTCCTAATTTTGCCGTCATATCTTCTCTTTAATTAGGTAGGCGAATTAATGAGAAAGTGGAGGGTATAAACTGTGTTTAAAGAAACTCTCACACTCTCTTCGGTTATGCCATCTTTTAGAGAGAAATGTGACCCATTATCGAGATCTGTCTTCTATAAGATTGCCAAAAATTATGAAAACGCAAAAATGCTTGTAAAGGAAGCTGGATCAAACA